AGCAGACACTAAGCCGGGTCCCGAAACAGACGTCTGATATTTCCCTTTTTAACAAACCCCTATTCAGCGGACACCTCTATTAAGTGGATGCGGACACTAAAATAAGTTGTATTTGGCTAATTTCTATTGTTAAAAACCTCTATTAAGCAGACACCGGACTGAATTGACAATAGTAGTATTGTATTACGTCCTTGAAATACTTACTGAAGTCAGTTAATGTTTTGCATTTACAAACAAATTAAAGTTGGTAATGAAAGGTAATGAACTTGGATAGCTTCTTTAACGACATGCAACTTTTTCACAGTACAGAGTAACCGTTAAATGTTGATCGTTAACAAACATTGTGCAATTTTTAAAACCTCTCTTAAGCGGACACCCTCTATTAAGAAGACACTTGGGAAGGTCCCGAAGGTGCCCGCTTAATAGAGGTTTCACTGTAATTGATATAATAATAATGTAATAGTAACGATTATAATTATTATAATTTACATTGTTAGAAAATGAAATATTTTTCAACTTTCAGTATTCTGAGCATCACTCATGTTCTTAAACTACTGTTGTAAATGGTAGCATTAACATGTATGACATTTAGTTTGCACAGAACTTGAGCAGGGGAAAAAAATCCCAATTTCCATCAGGTACTGTACAGAACCTTTGTTAACCGACACCTCCAATAAGATTACATGCACCTCTTACTAACAGACACTAATCTGGGTTCACGGCAATTAATTTCTATGTTAAAAATCTGCATTAATCCCAACTGTTGTAAGTAAAGACATCTTTTCTTGGTAACAAACATCCACATAGATCGGTCAAATCAGACCTAAAATTCTTTGCAGAATAGTTGCCCACATGATAGATAATAGCTATAGCAAAATTTAATACTCCTCCCTCTATGGCAGTGGCGGATCTAGGGGAGATGCCCGGGGAGCCCGGCTCCCCCCCCCTTATTTTTGGACCAAACTGAGGCCTGAACGGCCGAAAAAAATTTTTTTGAAGACCACCCCCCCTCCCCCCTTATCTCAGGGTCTGATGACCGCCCCCCCCCCCCACTTATCTGAAGGTCTGTATGGGGCAATCAGTTGAACAGATGCCTTTTACAAGCAGAATAATTCCGCAGTAATTTGGTCAACACTTTGATGCTGAATAAGAAAACAAATTATCATATAGAGAGAGAAAAGAGGATCGAGAGTGCACCAAAATCGACCCACCAGTCAAATCACACAGCCAATAAATTATGCACAAGAAAACAAAAAAACAAATGACATGCCTTTACTGTGAAAGAAGTTGAAGGAACAATTACAGCAGAAGAGGCTTTAAGGTACACTTATAAACTAATATTCAAGCAAGACCTCAAAGAAATCAGGGAGTGGGGAGTATTTACAGAGAGGGAAGGGCTAATGCAGATGAGAAGATACCATTTCCAAATTCTTTGGACCCTCCCCTTTCAGTTTTTACAGGACATATTTTTGACAAAACAACAAGAAGCCAAGTGAAAACTCTGGGGGGTTACTTAAGTTGAATTAAAATTATTGATTCCAGCATTCATTCATTGATGTACTGTTAAGGAAACGTATTACAAAAAATCTTAAACAAACCCACTGACATGATGGGCAACCTTTCCAAGAAATAACTTGCAGATATCATGTAGATGAAGACTTCATAGTATCAATGGCTTCGAAACGAAACGCACAGTTTAAGCACATTTTGATTTGCAACCTTAATTACAAAGCATAAAATAAGTAAGCCTAAATAAATAAATCTGACAGAATTTATGTAAACATGGCTTCAGTGAGTGTCTACAGGTCCTATGCTAAGTGTGTCCTTGGTACCAAGACTTTGATCCTCCCCACCCAGGACAATGGGTGACTGTCTGTGCCTGCCACTGAGCTCTGCAATTATCAACAACAACAACAACAACAAAACTTTATTAATAAACACATAAACTTACAGAAGTATTGCCTGCAGCTAACAAGGCTATTCGAGGCGGGACAATGCGTGCAAAATATAAAAATAGAGACTAAGGCTATTAACATTATCATTCTCAGCAGAGGCCTGATTCAGCTCAGTGGCTAGGGCAAACTAGGAACAAGGTACTTGCCAGTCAAAGCCTCTTGTGAACACTGCTGCTTACTGAAGGGGTTGTGTCAAAATAGTCCCCTCCCCACCCCACTAATTTTGGCCCCCTGACCTGATCCACCCACCCACTATTAGGGCAGTCCCTAGGCTATCCAGCTAAATCGACCAAGACGGCAAGCCCCCTACCTTTTTGGACACTGGACTGGCCTGGTGCCGGGCTGTGCCCGGTGCCAGACGAAAAACTAGTGACCAGTCATTTTAACGAAATCAGACAGAAATATTATTAAATAATATTATTATTACAGCCTCATATTGCACAGTCTCTTGACCTTAAGTGGTAAAATGACATAATAGTGGGATAATAAATAACGATATTGATCCTTCTGTGTGAAATATAAGTATGGCGATTTTTACACTGTACATGTATTCAATAAGGAAAGTGATAATGTATAATTGTCACCTCGATACACAGCCTGGTGATCTGGGGCCACTCAAGGGATGTTATTCAGTAACATCCACTGAAAGGTCCTTTTGCCCGCGGAGTAAGAAGAGGCTTGAAACATCAAAACATCCTTTAAACGGAGGCAGTGGCATCTTCTTGTCTGAATTGATTGGAATCAATCGAGGAATGATCCAAAAAGTGGGATATGCTACGCCAAAAGTGACAAAATATCAAAGATGCCACTATATAATTTAAAACCACCAAAGTACTATCAAGATCGACAAAATAAACATCAATTTGCTTGTTGTATGTGTCAACATTGTAGAATTTAATTCAATTTCAATTCCCACGTGTTTCATGTTATGTATCATAAATCAAGAGACATGTTTTCTAAATCAAGATGCATGTTTTTTAAATCAAGAAGGGAGACGACAATTTTTGATCAGTTTTGTTTCCGAGAGGGACTGAAACCGAGCACACAGGTTGGAATTCAAGGTTTAAATAATTAAAAGTGTTGAGGGGCCTGCACGACTCCTGCAGTTCGCAAATAGATTGGTCTTAAAACCTTTATAGTTTAGCTCTTACTTGAGTGTCTTTTAGGGATTTTCCTTTGCGATATGAAATGAGGGGAGGTTCCTTAAAGATGTTTCTGACATATGGTTGGTTCTGTATAAGGTGCCATTTCCCCATGAGTATGTTCTTGAGGTTGGGCAACGCAGGGTGGTATTGCGTTACAAATGGTAGTATTTTCTTACTTGCATTTTTGTTTCTCTGTTCTAATGCTTTCTTTCTGTCTGCGAAATTGACCTCTGAGAGATGTTTTTCTACAGTTGTAGCTGGATAATCTATATTCTTGAGGCGTGTTGAAAAACTCCTTGCTTCTCCTTTGCTGAAGCCTTTTGTGACGCCTGGTGGGTGACACGAATACAAATTCGTGCATTGGAATGTTTCTGTAGGCTTGAAATGTGTTCGCACGTCAAGATAAAATCGTTGTTGAATCTGACACCTTTGTACCTTTCGTGTCCAAGAATGTAGTCTCTGTTTCTGATATTTCAGCCGTGATAGAATTTGATTGTAGAATGGAAGTTGTTTGCCTGTAGAAGGAATTCTTCTATTTCGTTTCTGCTTGTGTCCCATTCTGATATGACGTCATCGATATAAACCTTTTCCAAAAGATGGGCTTAATGCTACTCTGAGTCTGAGTATTTCTTTTTCTATTTTGGCCATGAAGATGTTAGCAAAGGCTACGGCCATTTTCGTGCCCATGGCTGTTCCATGGGTTTAAAGATAATCTTTCAAGTTAAATTGGAACGAGTTTTCTAGTAGTATCAGACTAAGCATTTCGCTGGTAGGGACTGGAGGGTTTCCTTGGTGAAATTCTTCGTATGCAAGGCATACAGTGGTAATACCCTCTCGTTGTGTTTTTTTTTTTTTTTGTATTGTGACGTCCATTGAAACATATATCGCACTTTTAGGCAGTTTAATCCCCTCGATGAAGTTAATAAAGTCTGTCGTATCTTTAAGATACGAAGCTTGTAGTTGTGCTATTGGCTGAATAAGGTGGTCAACTTATGCTGAGATCCATTCTGTACACCCTGATATAATAGGTCCTCCAACAGGTGTCAGTTTGTGGATTTTAGTAAGTGTGTAAAACACGGGGATTCGCGGAGGATCGGGCGTAAGGGAGAGCCATTTAGCCGTCGTTTTATCAATGTGGCCTTCTGAGAGCAGTGTTTTAATACGTTGTTGAGCTTTTTTGGTTGTAGTTTCAACCATTGGTGGTTTGTCTAGAGGTCGGTAGTTATTTAAATCATCAAGCAGAACCTGACCTTCGTTTAGTTTGTCCTGTCTGCTTATCAATACGGTGGTGTTTACCTTTATCAGATTTCTTAAGAATAATGCTTTTGTTGCGCGATAACTCTTTGAGAGCTTGGCGCTCTCCCGTAGATATATTATCTTTTGGCTTGTCAAATTCAATACTTCCGAGCTCTAATTTTACCTCCTTTAGCAAGGTCTCCAGAGCCACAGATAGCTGGGCTGGTGGTTCCCAGTCCGACTTCACGTGGAAAGGATGAGGTTCGTTTTCCCTGTTCCCCGTGAAAAATATATTGTAGTCGCATTCGTCTCGCAAATTGATTGAAATCCGCGAGAAGCTAGCGCCTGATAAGATTTTCTTTTGTCACGGGTGTAGGGATAAACTTTAGACCACGCGATAGTAGAGTAATTTGCTTATCTGTCAGTTGTTCATTTGACAGGTTTTTGATATACTGTTTGCGTGACTCAATGGCGTCAAAAAAGCGCTTTTTGTCTTTGATTTTTCCCCGCTCTTTTCTTTTGCGGTTTTTGGCCGCTTTGTTATCTTTGCGGTTTGCTTTCCCTTTCCCCTTACTTCTAAGGAGTTTGATAAGAGACAAGAGTCAGATTCACTTTGTTTATTCGCACACACTTATGATCTTATTTGTTCTAACAATACATCGACTTCGCTAATCTTGGTCTTCAATTTACATTGTCATCTTTGTTGACAGTTTTCTCTCTAGCCGGTGATTGCGTTTTCTGGTGAGACGCCTGCTTAGTATTCCTATATTATTCCTTACAGTATTCCTGCGAGATTTATACTGTTCGAGTTTACGACGCTTGTTTGTTAATCGTTCTGCGCGCTTGTGGTGATATTTCACCAGCGCTTCCACGAGAGCCTGTTCTGCTTTCTTTCTGATCGAGCCTATATATCTCGTTCTTAAATCGCTGCCTCAGTTCTTGGTCAGGTGTTGACACGTTTCAGATGTGTTTGAGATGTGTTATAAACTCCTTGTGCTGCTCGAATGATTCTTCTCACAAGTTCTTCGATTCCTTCCTCCGCCATGTCTAACGCGGGAGGGCGGGAATGGGCAAGAATGGGTGGGATTCTTCATGGAGCAGTCCATGAAGCATGGCAGATTTTTCGGTTTCAGTCCCCCTCGGAAACAAAACTGATCAAAAATTGTCGTCTCCCTTCTTGATTTAAAAAACATGCATCTTGATTTAGAAAACGTGTCTCTTGATACATGACATGAAACACGTGGGAATTGAAATTAAATTCTACAATCTTGACACATTCAAAAAGCAAATTGATGTTAATTTTATCGATCTTGATAGTGAATTGGTGGATTTGAATTATAAAGTTGCATCTTTGATATTTTGTCACTTTTGGCGTAGCATAGTGGGACAAAATCTCTCACCAAAAATCAAACAAGTCGGATACAGACGAACGAAGTGCAGATGAATCACATATATAACTTCGAGGCGAGCGTGACGTCATGCGTTTACGAAATCCGACCGAAGATAAGAGGGCCTTTCGACTAACGAGTGCTGACCGCGAAGCAAGACGGAAGCTGTTCCCTCCATTTTGTCGAACTGATTTAACATGAGTGAGCAAAATATTGAACACCAACAACGTAGTCAAGCTCTTATAGATGCTGCAAAGCAGATCAAAGAAGCATGTGAGATATTTCAACGAGAAGCTGACAGGCTTCACGAGGAGCAAGAATCCATCGATGCTATGTCCAAGAAACTTGATCGGGTTCACTTTTCGTCCACCGTTAAACTCAATGTTGGAGGGCAGCACTTTACCACAAGCGTGCAAACTCTGACAAAGGATCCCAGCTCCATGCTGGCTGCCATGTTTTCAGGAAGGTTCGATATGAAGCCTTCTGAAGACGGTTCGTTCTTTATCGACCGAGATGGAACTCACTTCCGCTTTATCCTGAACTTTCTCCGCACGGGAAAACTAACTTTGCCTGAAGGAGCTACATTTATCAAGGAACTTGAGGAAGAAGCTGAATTTTATCAAATTCAAGGACTTATCGACGCGTTGAGCCATGCTAAATTAACAGTTAAAGTAGGTACGCCAGACGAGCCATTCAGAGAGTCGACCATTTTGATGAATGTAGAGCATCGGAAAATTTTGAAAGGTTGGTTACCTGAGGCCATGGCAGGCGAATGGCGTTTGCTATTCCGAGCGTCACGAGATGGCTTTGCCGCTTCAGCATTTCATTCTAAGTGCGACAACAAAGGGCCTACAGTCACTGTTGTGAAAAGCGGTGTAAACATATTTGGAGGTTTCACTGAGACGTCGTGGACAAGTCATAATACAGGATGTAAGTTTTTACTCCAGTTTATCATCATTTACACATCGAAAATATACTCGAATGAGCTTCCTGACGCTTTCCAATCTTTATTTACCATTATCCTGTAAGATTTTGCGATGATCTGCCATGACTCCCTTGATTTCGTCTGATGAAAACAACTAATAATCGACAGGAAGGTGGGAGTGCAGCAATATTTGAAAATGATCCATAAATGACTGCTAAAAAAGTCCTTAACATGGGGGGAGAAAGTATTACAAACTTTCAGTCCAATGCACCAAAACATCAAAAACAGAAAAACCAAAAGACCAGACTCCACAGTCACGGACCTCTACTTCTCCCTACTACGGACTAGCCTGAATTTTAGACATTCCTTCGACTCGCATACTCCTCCCAGTTGCTGATAGGAGTATGCGAGTGGAAGTTCAGGCCGTAACTACGGACTTCTTAGGTTAAACTTGCTGCTTACAGATTGATGAACAGGACATGATAGACGGAATGAATGCCACACGGTCGACGAGAGTACTGCAAACTCGTACCCCTGCAGATCTGAACTCGTACCCAGATCTCCCAAACTTGCAAACGGGTTAAGCAAACAGACGCCATTTTGGCCTTGGTAAATTGTACATTACCGTATTTTCTCGATTAAACGCCGTACCCCGATTAAAAGCCGGGTCAAAACTGCCGATTTTCAAATAAACCCCGGGGGGCGTTTACAGAGGCCCCCCTTGTTTGATCGAGATCCCAGAGTTTAATTGCGGTCGAGGTCATAACGACCAGTTACAACTAGAAATATCACAGGCCCCCCAAGCTCATGTTACGAGTGTGTTATGTATGTTAACTTTCTCACAAGAGAGTCGGTGTCGCATTACAAGAAACCGTTGAGACTTCGTATGAGAAATAAAATACGGAGGTCTGCGAACGCTAAATATCATTATTCTTACTTGTGTTTCTAGAAAACTAGAAATACGTATATCGCAGAACCTCACGAAGCTCGGGGGGAAGGCCCATAAAATGTCAAGGATGGAAGGGAGAAAATTGTGTAGCTTGGGAGGGCGAGTTTCAACACTGGCTCTAATATTGGAAGGTGAGATGTAGTTAATCGCCTTTTGGTTGGAGTAAATTTCAACCTAGTGTAATAATAATTACTTGTGAAGTGTGTCATGGTAGTGAGTGGATGAAATGGTAGGAGATAATGCTGCTGTAACGGGGCGTGCGTTGCCATCATTCTGGAAGTTAACAACGCAGCATCGGAGAAATGTTTTGTGTTCAATACGGAAACTCCAAGCATCTATCGATCTATAAAGTCCTTCATTTAACTTGAAATCTCGTAAAAACTGGAATACAATGAGCGAAAATAAAGCTATTACTATAAAATCTAAGCAAATTGAAATGATCTTAACTTGAGCACGTGCAGCGTGCATACAGATAAATCTAAACAATAAAAATCTTCTTAAGCGTAACAAATCTGCTTACGATCGATAACAATAGGACATTTCGGGATCTAAATATAAAGAAACAAATAAATTTAAGACATACCTCTTTCCCCGGTATACAACTCAAGTATTTGTCACGATCCTAGATCTATCTTTCTTTCACAATCCCTGCGCGTCTCTAGCTCGTGGTCCTATCACTTTTGGAATGTCACTTAAAACAAAGGAGTATTAATTTTAAATAACTGACGTAGATCCTGCAATCACAACCGAAAATAGCCTACGTTACAGCTGCAGTGAAAATAACGAGTAAATGCTGGTAATTGGAGAAAAAAATATAAATATTTATTGTTAAGTGATTACAGCAAGAGGTTGTTTGCACTTGTTTTAGTACATAATCACACTTGACAACTAATAATGTTTGTAACAGTAAGGTGTAAACATAATCACTTACCCTAAAATGGAAATTACATGTAGCAATGTGATATTTTTCGTATTTGACCCCTTTTTTTCCTTTTTTTCCACCACGGAGCCTGGTCCAAGGCTATGTCATTAAGGATTCAGTTGAGGAGAAATTTGAAAGTGATCATAACCCATGATTACTGAATATGCAGTAAGCACTGAATTATCACAGTAAAAAATACCAAATCATTTATGAAAGTGTTTAAAGTTATTTCTGTACATGCATGAGAAACAAATACTCATGCAAGAGTGAATTTGTATCAAATGTCCACATACAGGTAATACCGACCTTAAGTTTAGGTGGACGGCTACATAGAGGACGGTGACTTTGGCCGCGACAGCTTGGGGAGGGCCGACATCGACTTGGCCAAAGAAACAAGCTTTAAGTTTCAGTAGAGGTGACGGTCAAAGACTTTTCTTAACTGTATTGAAGTCTGAGAATAAGTTCCCTGAAAGAGATCCAAGAACTTTTGGTCGACTTTTATAATTGAGTTGGTGTCATATCACATGAGAAATTCGTTCTCTTGTACGATGAAATCTAGTTGAGCGTTTTGTTGCTCAAAAGTGAATGTTCGTCGCTCCACTGAGCCTATTTGCGATCTACGTATTGCCAAATTTTCGCACGCTTCACAGTTCTTACGGCTGGTCATCGAGCCTACACGGCTCTGGGCTTGAAGCGGTAGGGCTCACTTACTAGAACTTCTTTAGCAAGCTGAATATCGTGACCTTCAGGTCACTCCATCTTCATTAAAATAAGAGCAAATTATTAAATAGGATTGATAAGTTGCGCGCAAAAATAAACAAGTTCCTCCTTTTAAAGGGCTTTATTTTGTCGAATAAATGTTAACCAATTGACATGTAATTTCATTTTGGCCTACAACTTAAGCAGAAAAAATGAACTAAAATCTTCGTGAATGAAAAAACGGGTAAAAGTCGATGTTCAGATGGTGAGAGAATACTTAAATGTGATTATTTTGTCGCTGGGAATTCTAATCCCAGGGGCAACCAACGAGGATATAGTGCAAAACCACTTAACATAGCATTGTTGAATGTATTTTAGTATTTAAACGGTAGATATAGGCATATTTTTATCATGATCCCTTAAAAACTTTTCATCTGTTCGGATTGCCTAGCTGAAAGTCTAGTGATCCGAAAATTATATGGATCAAAACTTACCTTTTCGAAAATTTCAGCCAGGAAAAGGCACCCGAAAATCCTAGGTGGCCTCTTTTAGGGTAAAAATCCGTTAAAAATGGGTAATTATACCATTTTGTAGATGTTCGAAAATCCTAGGAGAGGCAGGCAAGCAAGATATTTTACAACAAATGTTCCGAAAATTCTAGATCTCAAATCGTCTTTCGAACAGATATTTTCCGAAAATTGCCGTTGGGTACCCCTGTAATCCTGCAGTAACTGGAAAAGGTTTAACATTTGAAGTAAACTAGACACTCCAGAAACAGATTAAAGCGGTATTCTGTTAAAATAAAGATATTTTGAAGACGAAAACACGAAGAAAAAACTCACGTTCTCGAGACACCGCCGTACTCTGCTTTCTCACCGTCGCGAAGTGCAGACGACGTAGGTTGGACGGCTGAGATATATGTTAATTAGCCCCAAATCGGGCAACTTTTATTTCCGGTTGCCGCCCTCCACCTTACCGTCCACCCTAACTTAAGGTCCTTAATGTTGCAGGTGATCAGTATTTCAATTCTCTATCAACATGCTTGAGCTTGTTGACACATGGTTACCAGAGGCATAGTTTTTTAAATTCCCAGACTGGCAGTCAAATGTACACTTTCCCTGAATTGACAATTTGTGCAGATATTAATGTATTCCAAATTCCAGTCAAAACTTCGTGTACTGGACACAGATGGTGTCAAGCAAAAGACTTCTTTGTTTTCTGTTCAGGGAAAATCTGCTTCATGGTCTTTTGTTATATATGTCATCTGTGTATGGTACACAAAATAAATGCCCAAACTCCCATCACAGCCATCCTGTCCACCTATTTCATACATGAATTTCTCGTGAATGTAAAGTGTAGAATGGATGGATCTCATATGAAACCCTATATCTGCTTGTCGTTTGATTTCTTGATACAATATTCTCCCAATGGAACATGTTTAACTTCGGTGAGTGTGCAGGAATATGTCACCTTCCTCTGGCTTCTTTGAAAGAGTTACATTTTATTTCCCTGACTTAAGGCATGTCAGTACATGGAGGTGGGGGACTACAGGCGGACAGGAGGGTTACCCCCCCCTAAGCGGGCTACCTCACCTACCTGGGGTACCCCACCTCCATGTAAACAGGCCCTTATACTGAAACTCCCTGACTTGACTTACGGGGAATGATTAATTTTCCTGGCATGGTAACACATGTAACACACTAATATTGTGAGGAGATCCGAAATCCAGATGTTCTTTTCGAATATTAAATAGGATCGAAAATAGGAGGCTAGCAATAATAACTTTTTTTATGATTGACTTAGAAGACACAGCTGTGTTTATGTATAAGGTAGACTTTCAAAAAATTCCTTCGTCGGATTTCATATGGCGCGGGACGAAGGACTTTTCGTACTTGATTAAAGGGGCTGGGTCACGGCAGTCCAGTTCATTTTGTTTAATTTTGCCAATTACTCGCCCTCAATCCTATGGAACTTAAAGTAAGCAAGGAATTTACAGGTTATCCGAGACAAACAAATATGTCTCCTGAGCATTATTTTTGAAGTTGCAAGCAGCCTAACAGTTTTTCAAAGTTGATCCCTGCTGAACAGTTTTCAAAAACCCTAATTCCAATCCGTTTCAATCTTCTTCAGTTTTGCCCATCCGTGGTATCTGTTGTTTCTGTTGTGTTATTTTAACCTCTCTTTAATGTTTTAAGCGGTTATTTTTACGTTTCTCTTAATGTAATGGGCATTTTGTGATTACCTAATTGGGCTGAATTTCGTGACACAGCTCCTTTAACACCAGTTTTACCGACCCAAAAACGGGTCGGTGCGCTTGGACGAATCAGAGTAGCTCCCAAGGACCCTTGGGGATAAAGCTGTCACTCACAAGTACTAAGCACATTGAAACGTGACTTGCGGTTCAAATTCTAAAAGGGGGTCGATTACGAAAGCGATGAAAGATGCTCTTGAGGCCACGGGCTATTCTCAATTGCGTGACTATCAAAGGAAACAATCGAAGCATATCTGTCGTAGCTTCCCACGCAGCTGTTTTTGGGTTAGCTCCCCTAAAAACGCCCGTGTGGGAGGCTAATCTGTCGGGGAGGGATGTTTTTGTGTCTGCTCTAGCCTGAGTATCAGGCCTTCCTAAGGGGCTAGGAGAGAGGAGATTTTAGATGGGGGAAGGGGGAGGGGGAGAAGAGAAAGCTTTCTCCCTTTTTCGCTTCCATCTTTCCCCTTTTCCCCCTTTGTCTGCTCCAACCGGAGCTGGCAAGAGTCTGACTTTTGAGCTGGTTCCATACACTTTCCATCGTTTATTTGGGGAGGATTGCAATTCCATCGCGTTGGTGATTGTTCCTTTGATTTCTCTCATGAAAGATCAGGTCTCAAACCTAAATTCCCGTGGCATTAGAGCATCGTCTGTAGGAGACGATTGCTCGGAAGAACAGCTAAAGGATATTTTAAATCTGAAAGAGAAAATATTATTTGGGAGTCCCGAGGCGATCGTCAACAATTACCGACACATTTATCGTGACCTAAAACGAAATCACCTAAAATCATTGTTAGAGACAACTTTCGCACAAAGAATACAAATTTGATTATTCGATGATGGAGATACACTTGTGTTCAATAGATTTAGTTGGAGTGGAATCAGCACATTCCGCTGTTTCTCCTTAGGTTCCTAAATTTTCTCAGTCCTCTTCCTAAAAGAGTCCAGAGTTCCCATTGAAAAAATCCCGTAAAAAAAGACAAACATCCACAAAAGACTTTTTTTTGTATGGCGTAAGCGCTCCTCCCCTAAATCCGGGGACTTTTATTTGAAACTGTCAATCTTCCCGCGCGTAACATAATTTCCGGTAAAAATGCACTTCCGGTTCGCTCTTACAAACAATTCTTTTAGAAAAAAGGCACAAGAAATAATCCTTAACACCACCATTGAAGTCAAGGACTCGCAAATAAAACCTGAAACCCCAAATGCGAGTCACGCCACTCCCCATTTTTGGCGCGAAATGCAAATGGGGACCCTTCAAGCGAGACAAGTCAACCGTAGCCTGCGTAGCAGGCGCTTGGAAGTAGTGGGTACAAGAAAAAACGGGCGCCTCCCTCGCGCGCGCCCGTTCTCTCTTTCGCCCACTACTTCCAAGCGCCAGCTACGCAGGCTAAGTCGACCCCCCCTCCCCAAAAAAGCTCGCTCCGCTCGCCAAGAGGTCGACTTGTAGCAAGTCTATGTATAAGGCTACATACAATAATAATATATTTAACTTGGGATGGTTTTGGGAAAGTAAATGTAATGAAAATTGTAAACGAAAATGTTGTTCAGCAAGGATTTTGTTTACAAACGTAACGCTCCCCGAAACATGTCACACATTATCGGTGTTCTAAATTGTTCACTGTAAAATAAAGCTTACTGTAATAACCCATTGTTGCTCATGGTGTAAAGGCTGATTGGCTGTCCCCCGTTTGTTGGAAAGATATTCTTGACGTGCATAATTCTTGGTGCCTATCGCTGCATCGAAGAAGATAATTGTGACTGTAAACTTTAAGCGTTGCCTGATCCAGTCTCGTCGCTTTTGGAAGCGTCGGCAGTCGGTGTTCCTCTCTTCATCGGTTTCGTTTACAGTGTAATTGTAGTATTTTGTCGCTGTCTCTGTACCCGTTTGTGGTCTCTGTGTTGACGACGTTGCCTTCGCTGTGCTAAGCGATGTTCTCTGCTTTGCGATTGTCTTCTTCGTTCCGCTCGCCGATGAATTTTAATCGGCGTTCTCCAGAGGAGTTTCAATGGAAAATCTTCCTCGGCGAGGATTTGCAGGCACTTGCTGTGCTTGCAGTTCTGTGTCATTTGGATGGGAAAATCAACACAACAGCCTTTCATGAAGAATCGCATAATTGAGTAAAATCTCGCATTCTGATTGGTTAACGAAGCGAGGTATTTAATTAGTGTGGAATTGCGTGTTGAAAACGAGGCTAAGCGATATTGTTTCGCATCTACGTAACAACTATCATCAAATTCTAACACGACAGCTGCAAAAAAGGTTCTCTTCAATGTCATTTTAAGATGTTTTCAAAACCATTGTCACCTTTTGAAGAGTTAAAAACAAACCAAAGCGTTTTTTATAGTGAGCCGGAGGTTCTTCCTTGTTTTGAACTTAACTACAAATTCTCGAAGAGGCATAAAAAACCTCTTTCGCTCTCGACAACGAGAAAACAAGAAAATCTTGTGAACACGGCCCAGAAAATGGCAAACCAAAGTTCAACCAAACAAAACGGAGAAGCGACAACGGAGGAAATGCGGGGGTGGATTGTCACATATACAGAAGAAGAAATAAATACCTTCAAAGACGACATGGCCCCTGAAAACACGACAAAGAGTACGCCGCTTGCAATCGTCCTGAATCGTGATACTTAGAAAAGTACGAACAGAGCTGAACTTGAACAGCATTTCTAAAACATTTCAAGGTACTTGCCATATATCAATCGCGACGTTAAACTTTCAGTGCTTTCGCTTGGACACTTCATTTCTTTCAGTTTTGCCGCCGAAGAGGTAAAAGGTGTAAATTATTTTCCTTCTCGAGCAAATGACCAATTTGAAAAAAGATGTTAAAGATAAACGGCTTGTAAATTCAGTGAAATACCTCTATTTATCCTTACGATTAGTGTGAAGCTTGTTTACATGTAAAAAAGTTTGAAAACAAATGTAAAAACAAGCACAAGGTACAAAAAAAGTTGTCGAAGGTTCAAACGTGCACGACTGACCCTTCCTATTCGCTAACGCAATGACAGTTTTGACAGTTGACTTTGAAATGGCTTTCTGGAGCGCGCGCTTAGGAAACAAACCATTATTGCCGTTTTCTTTTTTTTTCTGATTTTTATTCAGTTATGCGAAACAAGGAAAATCCATTACCTGACTCGTGAATTCCACGTTAAATTGCACGCGAAAACCGATATCGCATGAATCGCGAAGCGATGAGTGCGATATCGGTTTTCAAGTGCAATTTAACGTGGAATTCACGAGTCAGGTAATGGATTTTCCTATATTATACATGAAAATGCGCCTTGGTCACAAAATGCTCCATGACGTCATTGGCGGACACCAAACATATATTCATGAAAAGATTGATTTATGGCGCATCGAATTTTGCAGCTGGCCACGCGTGGTTAGCAGACTGCGCGCGCGCCTCGCGCACGACGAGATTATAAAGTCGCTTCGCTCTCGGCGCTTCACTCGGAATAAATAAAGCAATAAATAAAGGAGACTTACCTTTGATGTATTCCTGCGCTTTTTGGTGGGAATTCATCGATTTA